CTCGACATCGAGTCGATAGAGACAATCCATGAACTAGACTCAGACCACAGGCCCGTCTTGTGTAAACTGGGCCAGAACGCCGGCGCGATCCCTCCGACCAAATCCGTAGTGGACTGGCATCGTCTTGAGGTCAAACTCAAGGCCTTGAACCACCAGGACTTACCCGAGACGATAGCTACGTTCGATGACGCAAATCGAGCGATAGCGAGTCTCCGAGAAACTATTACTTCCGCAGTCACAGACTCGGAACGGACGGTGAAACTGTCGGGCGACTGACGGTTTAACTTTCCGCCCGACCTAAGACTGCTAATTAGACAGAAAAATGCAGCCAAACGCGCCTTCGACCGATACCGGTCGGAATCGAACCGAACCCTACTTCGACGCCTTCAGCTAGAAGTCAAAGATCGTGTATCGGAACACCGACACACAACGTGGGACACTCTCCTAGAGAACATCGAGCCATCGCCGTCGTGACCCCCGAAGAGGTCCAAGATATTATTAAAAATTTAAAACCAAAATCCGCCCCGGGCCCAGATAATATAAGTAATAAAATTCTCAAAGCTCTCCCTGGGCCGCTCATATGTTTACTGGCGACCATTTTCAATACCCTTCTCTCCAGTTGCTCCTTTCCGGACGACTGGAAGCAAGCCACAACGGCCTTCTGCCGACGGAACAATTCGGCTTTCGAGCTAGACACTCTTGTCCCGACCAGCTATACCGCCTAACGGAGCACATCCTTAAAGGCCTAAACCACCCCAAACACATCAGCACAGGGGCTCTCTTCTTCGATGTCGCAAAAGCATTCGACAAAGTCTGGCACAACGGCTTGCTTTACAAGCTGTACACACTCAAAGTGCCATATAGGCTCGTACACACCATCCGGGCCTTTTTGTTGAATCGCTCTTTTCGATATCGAGTCGAGGGCACCCTCTCCACAAGCCGCCGCCTCACGGCCGGCGTACCACAAGGCTCCTGCCTCTCACCTTTGCTCTTTACGTTCTACACGAGTGACATACCCAAAGACACCCACGTCAATCTCGCGCTTTTCGCGGATGACACCGCGCTCTTTTATTCAGACCGCAACCTTAGAATACTAACCACTCGACTCCAAAGCGCCGCCGACCGCCTCGGCGATTGGTTCCGCAAATGGAGAATAGGAGAATAGAAATAAATCCCGAAAAGAGTTTGGCGATTCACTTCACACGAAGTACCTACCCGTCACATCTTTATAATGGCCCTCGCCAATGCAGAAAGTTGGGGCAAATATCCCTATATGGCCAACCGCTCCCCTGGGAGAAAAAGGTCAAATACTTAGGAGTCACTTTCGACTCGCGTATGTCATTTACTACGCACATTAATAACATTCGTAATAGAGCCGCGTTCGTCTCCGGCCGGCTACACAATTTAACTAACGCTAAAAGTAAAATGCCCTTAAGGCACAAATTATTATTATATAAGACCTGCGTACGACCTATTATGTCCTACGCATGCATTATCTTCGCCCATACCAGTAGGGTACTCGCTTGTACAAGCTGCAAATAGTACAAAATAAGTTTATCCGCCGCGCAACCGGTGCGCAATGGTATCAGCGCAACGTCGACCTGCACAGCGATTGCAGACTCCCGACGATTCGCGCACATTTTAAAGATTTGACAAAACGGTTCTTCGATAGAGCCCAGCATCATCCTAACCCTCTGGTGGTAAGCGCAGCAAAATACCAACCGGACACAAACGCGAACGTAAACAAGCGTCGCCCGCGAAACGTCCTCATCGACCCGGTCGACGAAGAGGACTTAGATACGATGGACCCACCGCCGGGGGTCCCGCCGGATAACACTACACCCACAGTTAGTGTAACAACAATCACACCAGTTCGCCCTCGCCTCCGAGCACGGCGAGACCCACACAACGCGTACACAAGGTACACCCGCGTTCCGGGGCGGTTTTCACCGCTCCCAGCCACCGATTAGCTAAATGCACAGTCGACGGCCGTCGGGGTCTCGGTCCGAACCGCGACCTCGACGGCCCTTAGATGACACACCATAATTAAACGCACGCATGAGCACATGCGCGACCCTACCCATAGCGGAGGGTCCAAACCCATGGGTTCTGGCTAGCCCACCGGTTCTGCGTCCGATGAAGCTTTAATAGTCTCGGGACTGAAAGCAAAAACATCAGTTAATACAAGATACAAGGTCCACGGGTCTAGCGCCGACTGTGAAGGGGGCTCTTCTGGTGAAAGTTCAAAAAAACTGGATCCTTTACAAGAAAATCGCCATGTGTCCGCAGCAAAAATATTAGATCTCAGTTAAAAAAAAAAAACATTTTACTTCGGCAATGGCTGTTTCACAAGCAATAACAAAAATCAAAATGACGTTCGGTTTGAACACCGAACCAGGTGTCAACGTTTACCTGATCTAAGAAAAATTCAAATAGTAATTTGGTCCGAACATGGAAAGTTATTATCCCCGTCAAGAACGGTGTCAAAGGTCCGGCTCCGTGCCCAATGAGCTAAAACAATACTTTGATCAACCTGTTCTCGAGAGAAAAGTTTATCCATAAAAGTTTTGGGTGAAATGCTCGCCCTTAAATACCTCATTTGCCAAGCTTCTTCGGTCTTCGGGTCTTCTCTTCAGGGGTGGCCAATCAGTCTGTTGCAATAAAATGGTTTGGAAGATATAAATTATATCTTCCAAATTTAAAAAAAATTAATTTTAATTTTTAAATTTTTAATATATCTTCCAAATATTTTTATTGCAACAGGTTATGGGCCCAGAAGCCATGTTAGTAGTAAAAAGTAAAAATAGTTTGTAATACGTTAAAGAGTGTTATTAGTCAAACCGGCAAATTTTCCTAGCCTTAGTGCCACGCGGTCTACAAAAATGTCTTGCAACAATCCATTGGCATTAATTGAAAAATTAACGGGCCGAGACAACTACTAGACGTAGACATTCACTGCGAAAACGTATCTTCAACACGTCGAATTGTCGGACTGTGTTGAGAGTGATGACGCCGTAGATCCCAAACGTGACACAAAAGCGGAGACATAGATAATTCTTCTCGTCGATTCGACGAACTATCTACATATTCAAGAAGCCGACACCGCTAAGGAGGTATGGGACAGTCTAGCCAAAGCTTATGATGACTCAGGGCTGTCACGCCGCGTTGGATTACTAAGAGAATTATGTACGACATCGCTTACTAGTTGCCAAAATGTAGAAGAATATGTCAGTAAAATTATGACAACGGCGCATAAATTGAGAAATATTGGGTTTAACCTTTACTGCTCTCCGGTCTACCTGAATCTTATCAACCCATGATTAATTCAATTGAAAGTTTCGGAATGAAAATAAATGCAGATTTAGTCAAATCCAAAATTCTGCAAGGTGTCAAAATGAATGAAAGTCAAACACTTCAGCATTTGCAATTAATCAAAAAGGAAGGCAATAAGAAAACTTTTTGCACCCAGCGCGGGCGGGCGGCGAGCACCCTGCCTCCTTTGGCTGGGGGCTCAGAGTGCTGAACAAGGACTGGGCCCATATCCTGTTGCAATAAAAAGATTTGGAAAATATAATTTATATGTTTTAATAGTATAAATGTGCGCTCGTTACAAGTTACCACGGAGTAGAGAAGTTAACACAGATTATATTTAACTGTACTGAACTTGGAAGGCGCGAAATTTAGGGTGCACAGATTAAATACGATTAGTCCAGCCGATCGTGGCATTTCTAAAAATATAAATACGTGGAACATACTGCGCAACGCATCCAATCACTAACTGCTTTCGAATAAACCACATAATACTTCAAAACGAAATTATTACTCTGCGCTGCGACTTGTCTAAAAGCAAGGTCATACTCAGGTCTAGAATTCTGTGCATTGGTTTCCAACTAGAAATAGAACAGAAATATCCAAATTTGAAGAAATGTGGAGCTGCATTCGAATTTTGGTTCAACATTATAATGCGAGTCAGCATTTTCCTACTTAAAACAAACAAAAAATAAACACCCTTCTCGGTTGACAGACGCTCATACATTAGATTCCAAAGGTTGGCAATTTCCAACTACAAACATGATTTTGCTAATCTAGCTAAAGATGCTCAAACTCAATGCTCACAACGTTAATAAAATAAGTTATTACTAAGAATAATTTTTATAATTTTCCCTCTTAATAAAATAAAAAATACTACATAGTTGTGTACTGAACTGTGTTTCATTTGAGATTTCAAAAGTATGTAATTGGCGGATTGGTGGGTGCAATCAAGATGGCCACCCCTGATCTAAGCCTAGTCACCTCCGCGATCCCTGTTGAAAACCTCAACTGCAAACCGGCCTAACGGAAAAGGACCTAACACAAGAAAAGACGAAGCAAAAAGTTTATAAAACTCCCTACATACTCGGTATTTATACATCGGGGTGTCAGTGACTTGTTCTTTATTCGCAACACTTGGAAACTAATAAACTTTACTAGGGTACACTTAAAAAACATTCGACAAAAGCACTTCCGTAGGCTAAAATACAGTTAGTAGACTTCACCCCTATTTTTAGGGGAAGCATTTTTGTGACAATCTTACGCGCAACATTAATATACAGGGTGAAATTGAAATCAGGAGCATCCCCCTTTTAAACCAAGACCCTATATATGAAACCAGTTACATTTAGACTAAAACTATATCAAAAATCATTAATGCATTATTAATGGAAGTACGGAAATCCTCAAAAATCTAACAAGTTAACATTGAGTACAATATTTTTTTGGTCACATTACAAACACGTTTCTATTGCAAATAATCAGGAAAAATAATAAAACCACGTAACGAAGAAACAGGTGAGCTAACTGAAGAGAAAATTATGTAATAATTTAAGTTCAAGGACCCTTAGGTGTGGCTGTCCCAGCACAAAGCAAAAGACGCGCCACCGTTGTTAAAGTAACTAGTATCCTGTACAGGGTCTTAGTTTAAAAGGATGCTCGTGACTTCAATTACACCCTGTATACAATCAGTTATTCGCCACGTTCTCCTTGTCCAGCGGTTTTGGCCAATCCTGCGAAGCGGCGCTCTTGATAAGGGCCCAGAGGGCGTCGCTGTCGCCGGCGTCGATTCCGAAAGGCTGCAGCAGCCTTCGGGCTTCGTTTTTAACGTCTGAACATCGCTAAGGAAACTTCTAGAAACTTCTAGAAACCCGGAGGAAACTTCTACAACCTTAACAATCAAATAGCATTGGTAGGGCCACAACACCTTTGGTGTTGTGTTGCACGAATGGGTAGGTCCGTCCGGGTAAGTAAATAAATATTTCGGACACATTTCTTACACAACATTCTCTAGTCCAAAACTAAGCAACGCTTGTACTATGGGTACCAGAAAACCCTGATAAACCTACTAAAACATACTTTTCTTTTGTAAATAAATGCATATTATACATATATAAACACCTAGACACTGGAAAAACACGATGTTCATCACACAATATTTTTCCAGTAGTGGGGATCGAACCCACACCCTCTGGCGCAGGAGGCAGGGTCACTACTCCCCACGCCAATTGGGTCGTCGTATCACGAACTCACGGAAGACCGGCGTGAATTGGAAGTGGCATACCTCAGCGTTTCGTCTGGTGAGCGAGATAGCCGGGGCCCACTTTATTGAAAAGTTGCAACGCATCTGCAACTACGGGTGTGGCAAATGTAAATGAGGGGCGGTTGTCACTTAACATCAGGTGGACCGCCCGCTCGTACGCCACTTGGTCACATAAGAAGCGAAATATTTGCATTGCCTTACTGCGCCATACGTAAAAATCAAAAGGATACAGCCTTTGGCGACGCTGGGTGGAGCGCTGAAGTCGAAACGGACCCCCGTCAGTTCCTTCGCCAGCTGATATGTGTCTCTGGAAAACAAGACAATTTTCTTTTATTAACGAAAACCAAAACTCGCTCTGTTTTCATTTTATGATTGATCTTCAGGAGCTCCCTACGTATCTCGGGGGCCCAAGATCCAATACAATTAAAATTAATATAGGACCACATGGGAAGCATCAGCAAATAAAAAAAGAATCATGAAAATCCCTCCACTCAGTCAAAAGTTCAGAGGTAACAAACATAAAAAAAAATACAGTCGAATTGAGAAGCTCCTCTTTTTCTGAAGTCGGTTTAAAATAACACAATTACTAAATCCTTTTTTATTTAATATACTCGAGCACTATCACTTATCAAATGACTTACAATACTGACTTAACAAATGCCCAGTATTGAAAGAAAAGTCTTGAGGAAAACTTATTATTTTCGAAATAATAACTAAAAAAATTATTCCGAAGATATTTGAAGTCCACCAATCCGCAGTGGGGTCGCGTGGTAGACTTTAAAACCCTCTGTACAGCGGAGATCTTTTCCCAGCAGTGGGACATATATAGGCTGTTACTTTATGTCTACGCAATCATTTTACTAGAATGGTAGGGCACTTCATTGCCTAAAACTTTAAATTTTTTACTTCCTACGTTAATTTCATAGAAAACATAATTCCATTACTCTGTTTGTGCACATTGCTTATATTTGGCCTTATTATCTGGAAGTGTAGGTTCAATTCTCCCACAGGACATGCCCGTTTATGAGCCACAGAATATTCTAGATTTAGATTCGATTCCAAATTCAGTTGTATAAAACATTATTTTTCATTTGTGTAAGACAGGATGATGATATCCCACTGAGTACAATAATTTTTCAATTTCTGTTCTTGTTTAGACAAGAAACTAGAATATTCATTGACCTTATATTAATTTCTCTATATTTCTTACTCTGGACTTGACTTTGATCTGATCCATTTTTATAGTGTACACATACTTTGGCTGTCTCTTTTAAATATTAAGTAAGAAGGTTCATTATTAAAAAAAAATTATAAACTTGAACTGGATGTATTTATTAACATCATGAAATTTTCATATTCCAAGAGCAGTGGAATAAATAGTACTTTTCAATGTGATTGTTCAAAGCCATTGTAAGCTAGACAGCTAAATGATTCATTATTTATTGGAATGAATAGACCAGTTACAAAGAGCACGAGGGATCTGTGACAAGGAACACCTGGCTGCTGAGCTACACAATGTCAAGCAAGCCCTGTGTGACAACAAGCTCCAAATCCCGCGCCTGAGTCACAATGACCGAGTGAAACCAGCCACAGTTGAGTGCCTGCTGTATTGCCATATGTCAGAGGAGTCACTGATCAGATTGGCTACTTCTTGAAGCGTGCTTCAGTTAAAACATCATATCCCTCTACAAGATCCAGGAGTGTACAAGCTTGACTGCGATTGTGGGCTTTCTTATATAGGTCAAACAAAACGATCAATTAAAACCAGAATTAAAGAACACATGGCTGACGTGAAGCACCGACGGTTGAAGAAGTCTGCAGTTTGTGATCATATTTTAGACCGCCCCAACCAGTACATTCGGTTTGATCAAACGAAAATCCTCACAATAGAACACCGATTCCTTCCAAGGATGATCCACAAGGCTATTGAAATAAAGAAACATCCTAATTTCAATAGAGAAGATGGCTGGCTTCAGGCCAGTAGTAATATCTATTCTTCCTCCGTCCTTTATCCCACACTAGGTGGGGTCGGCAAAACATCTCCTTTCCTTCCACGTTTCTCTATCAGCCGTCATCGCAACACTGACCTCTTTCACAGAGGTATCATTTTTCACACAGACCATTCAAATCTTTCTCAAATTGACCCTGGTGAGTGAGGTAACCAGAATACATCCTGACCATTCTAGTACTACTGCTTTCCAAGATTAGTGGAAACCGTTTTGCTTAACATAAAATGAATTGATTGCTCATTAACCACTCAAGTACTCACTTAGCATTGTCCAGACGGTTTTTATCGCTGTCCGCTATTGTTAGCGACTCAAAGCTGGCGCAGACCCTCTCCAGTTCACCAGAGCGGCTGTTAAGCTCCGTGAGTTGTTGTTTTAGCTCCAACTGGACAAACGAAAATAATGAAGATAATAAAATAAATTCACATACAACTAATTAATACAGAAACATTCTAGTTGTTAAAGAAATATAGCAAGTTACAGTATACAAGATCAAAAAGATTTAAGATTCAATACCAAAAATGTGTAATTTTGTGGGATCTTCATTAGTATACCCTCCAAAGTGTACAGCAGGCACATGCATAGGACTCCGTTATGTATGTGGACTGACATAGTATTAGATAACTCTATTGGATTAAAAGCAGTGTGAATTTCTTTATAATATCGGCTCAATCACCATGAAGCAAGGCTTGCGTCTGACATAGATCACTTCTATATTCAATAAACATTTTTAACAGACTTCAAAGAGGAAGGTTCTCAATTCATGGAGATAAGTTCACTGATTACTCAGATACCTGAACCGATTTAGAAAATCCTTTTTCTATCATGTTTGATATATCATCCATGTGGTCTCACATTAATTTCATTGGTATCTTACCTAGTTGTAATTTGTTAGTAAACTGTATGGTTTATGCAAATATTGTTAAAATTGTAATTACATGCAAGCAAGACTAGTTTCAGTTTCAATACAAACTAGTGGAAATTAGTAGTAGTGGATATATAAAGATAATAATTATAATGAAAACACATTACAGGGAAAAATCAAATACGCTATTTTAGTATTTAATAATAAAAGTATTGTATGTTCATGATTAAAGACGGATGAAGATGGAAAGAGAAAAAAAGGCAAAATAGCAAAATAAGTCAGCTGTGTTACTCTCTGCCTACATTTAGTTTCATCTCGTGGGCCAATTTTGATTCCAACTCATTTTTTTTCTTGCACGCCTTCAACTGCTGTTGTTGCTTGTCGAATTTTTCTGAAACAAATACCTGAAGTATGTAAATGCGATAAAACAAAAAATCTGTAACAAGTCTACTATATCATGTAAAATTTACCATCAAAATTTCGGCAAAACGCATCGATTTCTTCATTGATTCGCAAATACCACGATTCTTTCACGTTACTAGTTACGCCCATTGTTTTATTTTAATTTAAATTAGTTTAATTCGTAAATAAATATAATAAACCTATACGGAAAAGTGAATTGTTTCTGTGAACTGAAAATTCAAATATTTCAAAACATAAACCAACGAATTATTCGCTAGATAGGTTGCCAGTAGCGATGGGCATTGAATCAACGAATTAGTTGAATCAACCGGTGATCTCTTGTTAACGTGTTAACTATAACGGTCCTTAATATTCGTTAACGTCTTTTCGGAAAAGTTCCTTTAAAAGTTTAAAAGTTCCTTGCGGAAGTTTAATCAAATCAACTCGTTAAAGTTAACGCAGTCAACGATACGTTAAATAACATAAGCGTAACGAACTTAAAAATCTTACGTTGAAAAAAAAACGTCACAGAGTTTAGTTGAAATGTTTTATTTGATGTAGGACATGTTTAAGTTCGCTTTCTTTAATTTTTGTTTGACGGTTAATGAATAGTTGCGCGTAAGATCAGAGAATATTTTGCGGCTTATCGTAAATATTGTCAGAACTTTATTTCATGTTTAGTTTTTCTTTTTTTGTGAATTTGTTAATTTTTGGAATTTTACTTCATGTTATTGTTGATTGGTAATCTCAGATTATACATACTCTTTTGATGTAAACTCTAACCTGTTTGATTTATGTATTGTTTGAATTACTTTAAATTTGGAATGTTAGTTTTATTTGTTCAGACTGAATTGTCTTATTTGATGAATTCCGTAAAATTTGCTTAAAGAAGTAACATAACTCTTGTATTTTATATAAATTCCATAATGGTTACGTTTGGTCTAAAATAAATTCAAAATGTTTAAATTGAAATAAATAGTTTTCCTATCAGTCCTTAAGTGTCTTTTCGGTTTGAAAATGATCCCATCAGCCACATCTACCATTCAAGATTTATTTGTTTTGTATATCAGAATATTACTTTGTTTAGTGTTTCTTTTTTTGTAAATTTATGATTTTTTTTAAGTGTATTTTTAGATTTTTAAGACTATATGTATAAAAATTCAAAATGTTGAGACGTATCAACAAAAGACGATTCTAGCGGAAAAGCTTTCTGTAACGTATGTAACGAATGCAAGGATAAAATATTGTATAAATTGACCACTTCAAATTTAAAAAGCACTTGAAACAGAAATGTATAGTGTAAATATCCGTTTTCCCTAGTAAAAGAAAGGGCTTTCAATTTAACATAAATATGTATCAAGCTAACTAGTTGACGAATTTAACTTGTTGATCAACCAGTTGACGAACATGAATCAACGTTAACGTTAAGTTGACGAAAATACCAAACGACCCATCGCTATTTACCAGTAGGCACTAGGCATGGGCAAAATATATCAATATATAAAAATATCGATATTCAATTAACTTTTATCGATTTTTTAACCGTGTTATATAGATATTCGATATTTATTTTAGACTATCGAATTCCAATATTTTTGGTTAATATTGAAAGAACTTTTGTGAAAACAATATCTGTTTATGTAAGAAAATCACTTTACTGAGGTCGGGCTAGGCAAAAACTTCCACTGTTGTGCCAATCTGCTGCATCATCCGGGAAAATAATAAAGGCTCCCAAAACACTTTTAAACCATTTTCTTTTACATGTCATATTAAGTGAGTATAAATATTACTATTTATTTTTGTGCTCTTCTAAAAATTTTCAGGAAATACATGTAAAATGTTAACGTGATCTTTACGGATTTTATTATTAAAAGGGAAGTTCTTATATAAAATACAAATACAAGATGCAGATAGTTTAATAAATATAAAAACATTTTATATAGTGTGGAATTAGTACTAATAAATAATAAAATGCAGACGATTAAAATACGTAATATGCAAGCTGAGAAACAACATAGAGGCGTTATAATTCTACACTAGTTTGATATTATTTCGAAATCAATAAAGTACTGTCCGATAATATCATCATAGATGGTCATAGAAATTGATTTCGGAAAGAATAATATAATAATATTCGAAATTCTTTATCAGGGAACGTTTTGGGTTCTAAAATCTCTTGAAACACGCTAGTAGCGCCACGTATTGACAGATAAAGGAATCACTTTTATCGCCATTTTTGTGATGGCGGCCGATATTTATAGATCCTAAGGGTGTTGTTAGTTTTCCATAATAAATGTTTTAAAATGGAGGAGACGAAAGTTATTTACTACATAGACGATGAGGAGACGCCGTATTTAGTGAAAATACCCATATCGCCGGAGAAGGTGACCCTGTTGGACTTCAAGAACCAGTTGAACAGGCCCAACTACAAGTTCTTTTTCAAATCGATGGACGATGATTTCGGTGTTGTGAAAGAGGAGATAGTGGACGACGGCGCCCACCTTCCGTGCTTCAACGGCCGTGTGGTCTCGTGGCTGGTCTCAGCCGAGGGCTCCAACCCGTCCGACGGCGCCTCCCAATGCACGGACAGCAACGCTGGCAAGGGCAAGCCAAATCCTCACGGGGCGCCGACCGTGCCGCTCACGCGAGACACCTGCACCGACACAGACAGCACGATAAGCTCCCGCCCCGGACACCGAGCGTCCTGCGACAAATACAAGTACCGGGGGCTCCGGATCAACGGCCACTCGAAGTACGGCAACCACGGCCTGGAATACGAGACCGCGTCCGTTCTCAGCTCCGATCTGGACTCGACCAGCCTCTTCGACAGCCAATCCGAAATCACGACGACCACAGGCCGCCATACCAACGCGTCAGTGGACCGAGCCCTGACCGAATGCAGCAGCGTTTCCCACCTCCAGGTCAGCTCCCGGAAGCGGCCGCAGCGGAGGCGGAAGCGGCCCCAGGTCATGTCTCGCACCTCCTCGTACTCCTCGATCACGGACTCCACGATGTCCATGCACATTATAACGGTGACTCTGAACATGGATACAGTGAACTTCCTGGGTATCTCCATCGTGGGGCAGTCAAATAAGGGTGGAGACGGTGGGATTTATGTCGGGAGCATTATGAAAGGTGGTGCCGTGGCCCTGGATGGAAGAATAGAGCCAGGGGACATGATCCTGCAGGTTTGTTTATGCATTTGTATAAGTTTGCACAATTATTGTTTTTATTTTGACATATTGTACTTTAAGTTTAACACAGTCTAAGCATAATTCTTGGTTTATGATTCGTAATGAGGGCTTTTGAAACTATTTATGTTTATTGAATTATCAAAAACCTATTTTATAATGTACTTAAACCAGATTCTACTTGATGATGTTATAAAGAATAGAGAAAACATTAAAAAAATAGAATGTGATACAATTTTGGGATTATATATATGTGAAGATTCCGTATTCTGTTTTTAAATGCAAAAGCCTACTTGTGGTTTCTACTACTCCATACACTTTTCAAAAACATTCTTTAGGCATTGCTCAGTCCCCTTTGCTGTATTTCATGCAAAACGAAACAGATTCTGTATGCGACGAGAACTCTTCAGAAACTATGTATTATTTATTTGCACAAAGGCCTTTGCCCTGAAGGGTGGACTTACAAATGATAATCAAATGTAGGTCTACTGATAAGTGAATAATTCTATATTTTGCGATAATGTTCCTTGTGAGGACCGATTTGTTAGAAACAATGTATGCATATTGTACTATAATTTATATTTTAATAAGTCTGCACTATGTGTTTGCGAATAGATCTGTCAACAAAGATTTATAGTGAATTCAATTAAAACATGATTGAATTTGTACTCTTGTTTAATAACAGAACAGTATGGAATTGCATAACATAATTAATTAGCCTAATATAAAATTATAAATTTTAATTAGAGTTATGTATTGACACAAAAAATATAATTATAGCTAAGAACCATCTCAATCAAGTCAACTTTCAAACAAAATAACCACACCATAAATGTTTTTTGAAGCAAGATGCCACAGACAGACAGACAGATGCATCAAACTCATAACATCCCTCTTTTATATCAAGGCTTAAAATTAAACTTAAGAGGGTCAAAGTAATATTTCAAAACAAATATCCCAATGTTATTAGTATCCTGGATGCTTAAACTGTATTCACCACAAATGAAGTTGAGATAAGTTATTGTGCCTGGGCACTAAAAGCCGCAAATCACTGTGTCCGTAAAAAATAATGAGAGTGTTTAACCTTGCGGTTGAAGTAAAACTAAAAAAAATCTAATGTATTAAATGTAATTTTAATAAATGTAATTTAAATGTAAATTTAATTTATTGGTTAGTAACATTTTATTTTAAATTAATAATAATGTAATATAAATCTAATATTAATGTATTAATTAATAAAAAATTATAAATATTTTTTTTTAAATGTATAGTTCAGATACATGCATACACACAGTGTAAATATTTCAAAATCTGATGCATGATGCAACAAATCTCCACTGCAATGTCTGCGTTCAAAGCATTCAATTATCCTTAGTTGCGACTAAAGAAGTTTTACATATTTAAAAAAAAGCTGTTAACGTAAAAGTACATTTTAGTAGAATGAAAGTGATAAGGCAATGATCTGATAACAGTTTATATCCCAGATTTCAAAAATTTAAATAAATTTTGTGCCTTATTACTTCAAAGATAGTCGAAATTTCTTTATTCAATATAGGCTTGTTTAAAGCCCTTATTGAACATTAAAAAATTTTACCCATCCAGAGATGGACCAACAACAAACCGTGATATTGTAATTGTTATAGTATTGTTACTAATATAACATACTGTTCTTAGTATGGCCTTTGTTCATTGTGTTGAATACTAAGGGTGTATAGAAATGTTCATATCTGGTTCCTTCCTATAGTGCTTACGGGATAAATAGGAATTTTTCAGCTTCAAGGATTGAAGTCCATGCATTTCTTCTAAGCAACAGTGAATCATATTAGTATTTTTGTGTGGAGGGGGTTTGGTAGTCCCAACAACCGAAGTGACCTAGAAGATCTATTGTAGTCTTCCCTACCTAAACATTGGCCCCTTACTGTAGGTTAACATTATTCTGTGTAGTAAGGATGTTTTACATACACAAGTTTCATGTGGAAAAACACCCCAAATCTGAAACGATTATATGTGTGGGTCACAGAAATATTTGTCTCGTGTGGGAATCGAACCCACTACCCCCGGCGCCCAAACCAATACCTTGGCAACTTCACCAAGGAGTCATCAATGTCATCAAAGCAACAGTGAATACTCAGTATATTTACCATGTTCAAGAATACACCACTAATTACCAACAGATACACAATGTCACCTGATCAACCGGTTTGCCTTTTTTGGAGTATAAAAATAATGGGGTTGGCGTTTAGATGATATTCCCATTGACATTTGCAACACCAACGGTTGCAATTGCATTGCTACTCTTTAATAAAGCGGGTCATGGGTACCTCTTTCACCGGACGAAACGCAGGTGTACAGCCCTTCCACTTTTTTTTTATGTGACAATGTAGCAAACGAGCTGGCGATTCACTCTATGTTAACTAATAACCGCCGCTCATTTACATTGCAACACCAGCAGGGTTGCAGATGCGTTGCCACCGTTTAATAAAGTTGGCCCCGGCAACCTCGCTCACCAGTCGAAACGCAGAACTTATACTTTGCGTCGGTCTTCTTAGCTCGTAGTACTTTCCCGGACAGACCTGCCCATTCGTGAAACGTTGAAATGTTGTTATTAAAGTGTAAAAAATCGCTCTTCCAGGTGAATGATGTGAACTTTGAGGACATGACCAACGACGAGGCGGTCAGGGTGCTCCGCGAGGTGGTCCAGAAGCCGGGGCCCATCAAGCTGGTGGTGGCCAAGTGCTGGGACCCGAACCCCAAGGGCTACTTCACCATACCGCGAACCGAGCCCGTAAGGCCAATAGATCCAGGTACGTTCTGGGTTAAGTTGATGATCATCATCAGACCAAGACCTTGTTGACAGTACCGTCTTTACCATAAGGGCACAGGGGACCCGTGCCCAGGACCCTGGACCAGGGCCATAGAAATTTTTCTCTATTTTTGGTAGTTTTATTCCGACAGAAGTTTATAGAATAAATAAAGAAAAAAACGAGATAAGTAATTGCGGAAAAATGTTTAGGTCATTCGATTATTTTTACTTTCCACCAAGGCCCTGAACTGCCCTAGGGCCCCGATATGACCTAAGACGGCATTGCTTGTTGACCCCAGTTTGACACAAATTTGTTGTGTCAAGCGAGCTGGCGTTTCACCTAATATTAAGTTAATCACCATGCGTTGACGACCTTTAAAAATTTCGCCCGGTTAGGACGAAACGCCAAAGTATAATACCTCCCCTCGACTCCGGTCTTCTGTTGGCCGCGGTTGCTGTGGTACTTACCCAGCCCATTCACAGGAGCTGTTGTGTGCACCTACAATATCCACAGCACACACCTGTGTTCTGCTTTTTCATCTTGCTCTTGCATCTTCGTCCATGTCAGCTGCCACTTATATGCAATAATATAGACCATACAAAAAATAACTCATCATTTAACCGTCCGGAAAGTTCTGACACGGCCTAGAAGCATGCTTTAGGTGGTCTCGGTTTGTGTTTGCAGGCGCGTGGGTGGCGCACACGCAGGCGCTGCGCGAGGCGTACCCGCCGCCGGCCGGCGGAGCGCCGGGCTCCGACGCGGGCTCGCTGCCGCCGGAGCCCCCGCTCTCCGTCAACATGGACATGGCGCTGGTGGTGCGCGCCATGCTGCGGCCCGACAGCGGTCAGTTAAGATTCGACTTAGAAACAACTAGAACCCGGTCAAGCTTTATGTTGCTATAAATTGGGCTAAAAGGATTTAGGTCTTGGTTGAGTCGGAGCGTTGTCCTTATTCGGTTGCGTCGCTACTTGCCATCGCTTGGTATCAGCGGGATCTTGGTAACGCTTGCCCCTCCTGCCAGCGCTTGTCGAGCCTCTAGACGTAACTGTGGTAATGCCACGCAGCAGCCTCGGCTGTTGCACGAATGGGCAGGCTCGTCCGGTTAAGTACCGCGACCTCGCAGAAGACCGGCGTAAAGTGGATGTACGACAAATACTTTCGCGTTTCGTCTGGTGAGTGAGGTGGTCGGAGCCCAATCTTCAAATGGTTGTCAACACGCAACCCTCGGGTGTAGCAGATGTCCATGGGCGACGGTATTATAGTAACATCAGGTGAACCGCCTGCTCGCTTGTCAACTTTTCACATAAAAAAGTAAAGATAAGGTACGCTGGAACATTCAGCACGCCTCCCAACAATTCGTTGGCCGTGCAAAATGGACCCACCATTTTGCACGGCCAACCAATTCCCTCGAGCTGGCCAGAGGCCATGGGAGCCATGACGGCAAATGATAATAAGCAGCCCAGCGCCCAACAGCGGACCTAGTCTGCGGCATCATATTTTTCAGAGGAACGGCATATCTTAACACAGCAGCCCTACTAATACTGTAACAGCGGTGCTGCCCCGCAAAGTCGCCGAGGTCAGAGGGAGAGGCCAAACGCAACACCAACTCTTCCTCCGTGACTCGCAAGAGACGACAAGGAGAGTTGCTCCTCTCTCCATCGACCTGTCCTCTGCACGCATCCAGAGTGGTCCGCTTGATTGTAGACTGGGTTGATTTGAACATTTCATGAGAGGAGTCACAAGCTGGTGTAACTAAAACTTTGTCTGCTGTGAAGCTTCTCTTATCTCCACTCAAATATATCCAAGCAGATGGAAGTAAAGACAGGGCTAGAGAAATGATAATATAAGTGTACAGCGTTCCTCCGTTGACAAACAGAATTACAAAAAAAGACTGATCCCATTGGATACATTATGAACAGTTTACAATTCTTTTCGATTCTATTCTTTTTCTCTTGTTTTCGTAACGTTTAACGCCCGGTTTCTGAAACACTGAAACGGCTTTTCAAATCTCATTTGAGTTGCCAAAAGTATGGTTAAACTCTTTGAATCAATCGTTCTGACCATTAAGAACATCATTGTGATCAATTCAGAGAGTTTAACCATCTTTTTGGCGTCTAAAAAGATATTTGAAAAGCCATTTGACAGCTGATTAGTTGGCATTTACAGTGATAAGTGTTTCAGAAACCGGGCGTCAGTGTGTCAGCTTTGAACTTGTTACAACACAATCGTTATGAAAGATAGAGAAAGTTGCCACCTCTACATTAAATTAGTTATACTGTTGGGCGTCTACGTCCTCATGTGGCCTTCCAAAGCATTCAGACTATGGAGCCGCTGTCGTTATTTGATTCCCTGTCGCCCGAAGGTCTGGAGATAAGGGACCGCATGTGGCTGAAGATCACCATACCCAACGCCTTCATCGGCGCCGACGTGGTCGACTGGATCCTGCAGCACGTGGCCGGCGTGGCGGACCGCAGAGACGCGAGGAAGTACGCCTCCCACATGCTGAAGGTGAGGAGAATCTTATGACGCCACAATGACTTGATAATAAATAAATAATATTAGGACACAATTTACACAGAGTTCTCTAGTCCCAAACTAAGATACGCTTGTACTATGGGTACTAGACAACTGATAAAATATACTTAAACATACTTTTCTTTTGTGAACAAATACATATTATATAAACATCCAGACACTAGAAAAACACTATGTTCGTCGCACAATATTTTTACCAGTAGTGGGGATCGAACCCACACCCTCTGGCGCAGGAAGCGGGTACACTACCCACTACGCCATTCGGGTCGACTGATGATAACTCCTTTGATCGTCATGTTTCAACATATTAACACGAAACAATAATAAACTATACGTGTAAACCTTCCTTTTGCATCACAAAAAAAAAATAACAAAAAAGAGAACAAGATCGCGGCAGAAGAACCGGCAAGTTTCTTGCCGGTTCTTCTCTGTTCAGGTCTAGTTTAGTCTAGTAAACCGGCGGTAGTTTTTTTTTTGACGTTTAATAAGAGCTTAAGTTAAGCCTACATTTAATAAAGATAGTTTGACTTTGACTTTGAATCACACTATTTACGGATTCAAATCGTGTGATACAGATAAAATCAACGTTATTAAAGTAACAGACAGACGGCGGCAAGTGACTTAATTTCATACAATGTACAGATGTGAGCGCTACCGATGATGACTCCGTGACGCAGTTGCCAAGGTGTCGGCTTTGGCTCCGGGGGTCGTGGGTTCGATTCCCACACGGGACAGCTATTTGTGTAACCCACAGACGATTGTTTCGGTTCTGGGTGTATGTCCACATGAAATTTATGTGCGTAATACGTCCTTACAGTACAGGATAATTTTATTGTACAGTAAAGGATGACTGCTATAGATCTTCTTGTTTGCAGCAGTGGTCTTTTTTTTTATGTGAACAGTTGCCAAGCGAGCAAGTGGTTCACCTGATATTAAGTGAACAAAATTGGGCTGCGGCTACCTCACCAGACGAAACGCGAAAGTATTATACTTCCACTTGACGCCGGTCTTCTGTGAGGTCGTGGTACTTACTCGGACGAGCCTGCCCATTCGTCTTGTATCTTGTATCTTGTATTAACTGATGTTTTTGCTTTCAGTCCCGAGACTATTAAAGCTTCATCTGACGCAGAACCGGTGGGCTAGCCGGGACCCACGGGTTTGGGTGCCCATTCGTGCAACAGCCGAGGCTGCTGCGTGGCCCTAGCACCGTAAAAATCATTGGGGCTTAAAGCACAACCCCTCCCGAAAAAAAAAAGATAAATAGAACGCCACAACGAACGACACTGCTATTTGCATCCACCACTTACTGAAGTCATAGCATTTGTTCAACAGTGAACGTCTTCTGATGTAGACTGGGTTGATTTGAACATTTCATGAGAGGAGTCACAAGCTGGTATAACTAAAATTTTATCCGTTTCTGTGAAACTTCTCTTATCTCTACTTAAATATATCTAAGCAGATGGAAGAAAAGACAGGGCTAGAGAAATGATAATATAAGTGTACAGCGTTCATCCATTTTTTCGATTCCATTCTTTTCTAATCTACCAATTGTTCTTCCAGGCCGGCTTCATAAGGCATACGGTGAATAAGATAACGTTCTCCGAGCAGTGCTACTACGTGGCTGGGGAGCTGTGCGCAGACATGGCTGCCATGAGGCTGCGGGATGGAGACAGTGTTGCTGGTGACACCCTGGCGCCCCTACCCAACCCCAAGTGAGCAGAACTCTTGGTTCATATTCTATTCCATACTGGTCAATTGCCGGCATGTTTCAAACTTGTTGTCAGTGAGGGGCACTCTTGGTCATATTACATTCCAAGATGAAGTCAATTGCCAGCATGTTTCATACTTGTGATCAGTGTGGCCAGTGCTGTATCACATTTTAAGTTCTGTATCTATGAAAATTTTGGATGAAACAACTGGCAGAGTGTGTAGTGGACACTCTGTTGACAGAGAGTAAAGGAGTTATGTATCAGCCTATATATGTTCCACTCCTGTGAAGAGAGTACTAGGCACAATAGCGACCCAACTGCGGACTAGCGGAATGTTGTAAATATTTTCTCGGTAATTATTTCGAAAATATGCATGTGATAAGTCAGCACTTAAAGTAAACAAATTCATGGGTACTGTCACAGAAATTTTACTTGAGGTCACTCGAGTGCATTGAATTAAAAGCAAGTGCCTGGAACTATCATGGCTTGTTGGCGGATAATCAAACATTTTTGCAATGCCTTTGAGTTATGGCGACTTCACTGGCTGCTACAAACGAACTGAGCTAGCCAAAGCAACTTTAAACTTGATGATGATTACACTTCTATATACTGCTTCCTCATGCCCTCATCCAACCTAGGGAGTTGGCACTATATGTGAATTATGTTTTAAATGGTTTTTGCTAAGTTTTTTACGGTCCTCTGCCTGCCTAACATCAACACTTCTTGGGAACAAACAGACCTAGATCAACTATCTGTTGGTCACAAATATGTGAGAAGGTGGCGGTTCACCTGATGTTAAGTGAACCCCGCCGCCCATGGACATCTGCTACACCCGAGGGTTGCAGAAGCGTTTTTGAAAATTGAGCTCCGGCTACCTCACTCACCAGACGAAACGCGAAAGTATTATATTTCCACTTCACGCCGATCTTCTGCGGGGACGTAGTACTTACCCGGACGAGCCTGCCCATTTGTGCAACAGCCGAGGCTGCTGCGTGGCCCTACCACAGTGGGACGAACGGAATCCTACAATAAATACTTTGCTTACTTACTACCCAACCCTTTCCACACAAAATACAATACAATGTATATGATCGATTGTTCATCCGTTTTGTCCGTTGCAGCATGATGGGCCCAGGGTACATGCCATATGCCGGCTCGTATGGCTACCAGCCCATACCGTTCAAGTACACCTCCTGCGTCACGAGCGAGCACACCATATACGGGTGAGTTTCACGATAAGTTAAAAAAACCGCCCAAGTGCGAGTCGGACTCGAGCACGAAGGGTTCCGCACCGTTATCTATGAAAACGGGAAAGAAATCATGTCTATGGGAGCCCCAGTTAAATATTTTTTATTCTCTTAGCGTTTGTTGTAATAGCGGCATCAGAAATACATCATATATACATCATTAACTTGTAATGTAAGTGCCTTCAAAGCGAGACGTTCAGAGCTTGAGTGATTCAAAACCAAAATTACAGCTTCACTTGGGAAGGGGTTGGGCATTAAATCCTAACAAACCACCGCTACCTGGAAGAACTATTGTAGTCTACACCTTACTTACCACCTTACTGTACTTATCTTACTTACCACCGACTGAGATTTTTGGTAAAAACGGTGAACATTATCATTGCAGCTACAATCGGGAGGAGAGTGTGCTGTCCGGCAGCGGGGGCTCCAGCGCGGGCTCGGACCACCTCACCGCCAAGGAGCACCCAGGTAACTGAACCCGGGGTCAGGAGGACAACCTACCTACACTTGCATTTATTCTTTTTAATTTTGACTCTAATCTGAACTGATTAAATTCAAACATTTTGTCAGGATTCAAACCCATTATAAGCAAACTATTTTAGAGATTATATCATTTCATTCGATCATTATTTCTGGAGATAATAAGTATAATGACTACTTGAAAGCTGTAACCATCATAATTAAATGCAATAAAATACATAGAAGTTTTCTTTTTTTAGGTTTTTAAGGATTTTAGGATAACGTTAAATTTATGGAGATTTTACACGCACCAAACTCACGTGGACAGACGTCCAGATAACTAACAATTATACATATATGGGTCGCAACAAATACTTGTTTGTTGTGGGAATCCAACCAGTGACCTCCGGCGCTAAAGCCAATAGCCTAACTGTACCACGGGGACCTTATGTAAGGCTTTTATATTACATGTTAGATCGCTGGGCAAAGGCTACCTTTATACCGGCCCCGCTGCCGATTCAGAGACTTCAAATTTTTAAAAACTTTATAGCACTTTGCATTTAAGATGGAGACACAAACAATGTGTCTATAAAGGAAGTAACAATTATTATATACGCTTAGCATCGCTTATAATGCGAAAAAATTATGTCTAAATAATCAAAGCAGTTTAGCTTATTGTTTAAAGTGGGTGCGAATCGGGAAGACTCGTCCGAACTGAAAAAATGGACGAAAATATTTGGTCCAGTTTTACAGTACATTAGCCACAGCCTCTCCTTTTAACAGTATGTTTTGTCTCTTTTAAATTCATTCAACCCATTCATATGCTTTGTGACCTTTACAAATGAACTTTACGTTACAGTTTTATACGTAAAATTTAATAACTCGGTAGATATTGATGTTTGAAGAATGTAAATGTTTATTACAATTTTAAAAAGTTATCCTCTATACGTGTGTTCATTTATTGTCGCGGTGGTAACAACACGCTGTATATACATATATATATATATATATATATATATATATATATATATATATATATATATATATATATATATATATATATATATATATATATATATATATATATATATATAATTATATACAAGACAACTAATCCAGGGCTCTGTTTTGGATTTGTGTATTGTGTGGAGGGGGTTGGGTAGTAAGTCCCAAAGATCACCGCTACCTAGATCTACTTCTGTTCTCGAGAAGTCTGTTCTGTATGAGGATAGTTCTTTAAATGTTCCTGGTTTCGGTTCACAGTTGGGCGCGAGGGCGAGGTGAAGTCCGCGTCCAGCGGCTCCGGCGCCTCTGTGGCGGCGGACGGTGGCGTTGGTGGTGGTGGTGGCGGCGGCGGCGGTGGTGGTGGTGGTGGTGGTACGCGGCGCTCCCACTCGAGCGGCAGCGACCGCGCCGCTGACAGGCCTGTCCTCTTCCTATAACGGTGAGTCACCGTCCATGGCATATTAGTGGTGGTCTCCGCAGATGATGGAAGCGGTTCACCACCCGGATAAAATCTCCAGAGAACACCATGTAGATAGTATAATACTATACTATACAATACTATACTATACTATACAGCTTAACACCCCTTGTCGAGTTGAAATTTATTTATTGTAGTACACTTAGCATCAGGTGAGCCACCAGCACAGCAAAAAAAAAAACAAATTTATTCAATACAAAAAAACTATCTGTTTGGTTCTACAATACATGATATTATGACACAATCTAGTTAAGTAAGTAAAGAAAGAAAATACATTTACTTACCGAAAAAAAGACGCACTAAAAAAGATAAAACAAAAACAAAATTTTACCAAAAAATAAAAGATACATTTGTGTTGAACTTACTCATCTAGAGTGCAATCGCACCCTGCCAACCCCCAATTGTGAGATGTCGTGACGTTGCCTCCTTATTGTTTCAGGGCGCGGGCCGTGACCGTTGCAACTGCCAAATATTTTTAGGGGTCCCTTAGTGTCCACGCGTGCGCTGCGGAGGGAGGTCTGAACGCCCCGCGGATGGCGGGAGCTGTATCGGGGGCGGGGGGGGGGGGGCGACCATCGGATTCGAACCCATCCACGCCACTGGCCAAGCGGACCGGGAGTCACCTCTCTGCATTTGCATGGAAACTAACGATTACGTGTCCTCATCTCGATTGGATGACGTCATGACGGAATAGGTATAGTGTTGGAGAGAGCTCGATGTCGAGCTACTCTTCACGTATTTATCGCTTATGTTTCCCTTTCTGCCCCATCCAATAAAATGTTCTTCAGCAGGAAAGGCTCGATGATGGGACCCCGAATCTCCCTCCCCTTATTCCCCGTCTTCCTTCTGCCCCCTTTATTCCTCCTCCTCCTTTGCCCCCTTATTCCTCCCCTTCCTTTAGCCCCCTTCTACCCCACCAACCCTTGGTACGGCGACTGGGCGGCTTAAGTTCGCGGACGCGTCTAGACGAGTAGTTTTCGGTTTTGTACCTTTTAGGATTACGCAATGGCTGCTATTTATTACAGAGTGAGAATACAGGGTGTCCCCGATTCCACACGGTGTGAGTTAGTGTTATTTTATGCAATGGATGTGTATAGTAAACTTTCCATTATTTTTCTGCCAATGTGATTTCAGCTGTTGGGAAGAGGGGGTTGAGAGGAGTAACATATTAAAAATAGAATTATTAGCCTTTATTTCGTAGCGTCCTTAAGTAACTTAGTTGTAAGTTTCCCATGAATTCAAAACGAATGTCAGTTCGATTTCTTTTAGGGTGTGCTTTTAAACAAGACAACAGCGTTTGGTTTTAAATTGCAAAAGTGCCATATTCGTATTTTTTTTTCTTTACCTCACTAACCGCGTCCGATAACGTGGACTAGGGGACACCCGTATGCGAGAGGGTCGTCGCCCGTGGGGCCGCGACGGTGACGAGTCTATTGTAAAGGCCCATTTACACGGTGCCAGTTTCTTGCCAGTTGTATACAATTAAATTGAAGCAATAAATGAGTTGCATGGTCTAAACAAGAAATAGTCTAAACAATTATTGCGCGCAATTTATTGCATTCAATTATTGCTCTTGTATGTTCAAGAAAATGGCATCGTGTAAATGGGCCTTAATTGTGTATCCGTTTCACTCTGGTGTCGTTTACGGGAGTATTACAGGTCGTGTATATAGGTCCTCTAGTGTATAGTGCGTAGTTTTATTGTGTACCATTGGCGTGGCTTGCCCACGCGTGGGCGTGTGGGCCCCGGACAAGTAAAGGGGTCGATAATAACTTGAACAGTACAGACTCTTAAAGGTTGCGGGCTTAGTCTGGAAAGGGTTAGTGTTTTCCTGTTACGAAAACTATACTTATCGTAAGTGGAAAAAAAAGAAAACATATTTATTAGCAATACATTTCTTATTTTATTTTGAGGGTTTCCCAGTTATGTCTCTCGAGTCCAGAGTCAAATATCAATAAAACTAACATGGTATAAATCGCACCCAATGCGTAAAGAATTTTTGAATATTGTTCGTGAATAACGGAGTTCTTATAAAAAGAAATAAAACCGAATTCGTAATCACCACCTTTTTTTGAAGTCGGTTTAAAACATTAAGTTCATCAAACTCGGGTTTTTCAAAGGGTAACTATTTTAAACCACGATTGAAGCAGTTGTTTTCTTATATTATACCTGTCGATTGAGTGTTAAATAATTACTTAACAACCAGACATTCTACGAAGACGATATTAGCGACCATAAGAAAATAGTGTTCTTCATTAATAGCTCTGTGGGTAGGACGACAACTTTGGATTCGAACTGGAACTGAACTCCGCTCCGTTCGTGTCCACTGAACATTCGGGGTCCACGCCGCCGGCCTTACGCCATACGATATACGAGTCTGTAATCTAGATGTAAATATGTTGTTCGACGCGATAGGAAATAAAAAACCCACGATAAGTGATAGGTTTCAGTGTTAGCGCGTTAAGTTTTAGGTGCTGCGTAAGTTATTTATGTTTCGGTGTCGAGAGAGAGACGGCGACGCGCGGGAACGAGACGGCCGCTGAATTGTAACGTCTTTACAGGTCTATTAAATATGTTGGTTGCGTCAGACAGAGATGGAGATACGCGTGGGCGCAGGAGAAAGAGACGGCTGACTGGTTACGTCGCTAATGTACGTGAATCGAAACTGGGAACTTACTCGTAAAAGTATTCCCTATAATTGTTTCTCAAACACTTCTCGCGAAGCGTCACTTTTACAGCAGTTAACGAAGTTTGTTTTTTAATTGGTCTTGAAATGACCAGTTTTGCGGCTTAGTGTTTTGATTTGAACATTCATAAAAACAACAAATTTACGTTTAAGAACAATTAATTGTTTCTAAAAATAAGCAACCGAAGACAACCATGTTGTTGCAACGTGAAATATGTCTGTCGCTCGGCCTTGAAGGCTGCACATAGTATGAAAATAGAATCGATCGTTATAAAATCGGCCGTACGCCTCCATACAACGGTTAGTTCTTTTAGTATGTGTCTAGACCCGTAATTAGGGTACATTGCGAGTAAATGAAATGTATACGTAGAGATTTCGAAATTTAATGATATGAATGTATGAGGGTTTTTAAAAAAAAGTATATGTAACACGTATAAATTATTTAAATTTTCAAATACTTAGGACGTCGCATCGGCAAGAGTTCCTTCTGCAGCCGAGGGCGGGAAAACGGGGTGAGGTCTATGACCTTCGTCCGTTTTTTTTCTTTTTTCAAGGGAAACATCTGATTTGGGCGTTGTTTTGGTATTTGTTATGAATAACATTCATCGATATCCGAAGGAATTTATAGCCTTAAAATATATGCGAATAAATACGACTTTATAGTAGGAAAGTCAAGTTTCCGCTCCGCGTGGAGAATCCTTTTATAATTTCTACTTGGGTGTATTACTTTTTGGACATATCAAGGCTCTGTGGATTAGCGAGAATAACGTAATTCGTATGAAAATAACGAGTTTCGGGCGTAGAATTCCAATATTTGTTTATAAATATTTAATCGTTAGCTACACGTAATTGCGTATATCCAATGTATGACATAACATAGTGCTGTAACTTATTGTATCTTCCCTAGATAATTCGTTCTAGTCTCGTAAAATTAAAAAAAAATATAAGCAAAACGTAACCTGTGTCTTGATACAGTCGTTTTTAAGTTTTATCTTTACGATTACTAATTTTAATTGTTTACGTCTTATTTTATTATTATTATTATTAATCTTATTTTTTTATAAATATTACATTTACTGATTAGAGACTGACGTAGAAAATAAATCCTTTGCCCTTGATTTTTGTAACGGTTTTAAAAAATGGTTAGCGTTTCTACCGCGAAATTGGTTTGTATTATTGGTTGTAAATTCGTATAATGTTCGTTTAGTAATCAATGTTAATAGGGTGATATTATATTTGTCAACAATCTCCCAATCGGAGTTTCAGGGCATTTTGTTGCATTTATTTTTACTTTTCGGTGCCATTTACACATTTTTTTATGCGACAGTGTCCTTGACATTTGTCAGATTTTTGGCGCGTCGGCAACAAAATGGCCGGCGAGTGGTTTCATTTTGCACATTTTTTTATACTGTATATTAATACAACGATTAACGAAAATAGCTGACGACTGCGCTGAACGCGATTGTAACGTATAATTTTTAATAAAGGAATAGCATTTTGTAATTAACTTGTGCGTGTGTGGTTTCATTTCACCCTCTTTGATATGATTTATTTTTTTAATGAATGAAATTTTTTAAAATGCTCAAATTTCAAGGATATGTTGTGTGGATGTGGATTTACACTGTTACAACTTTGAGTCTCAATAATAATCTAGTTTAAAATTAAGTATACAGTTTTGGGTAATAGCCAGTAACAACAAAGCGGTAGTAACAGTTGCTCTATTTAACCTGTGGCTCACTCCCACCGAGTTCATCGTTCATCACCTAGGATTAGTTACATACTAATTACCATTAGGTGAGATTAATATATTACTATACCCAAAAATATGGAGTATTGTTGAACACTAGCTAGTTTTTGGGGATAAAAAAGAAAAATGAGCTGTCAAAACCAACACACCAATAACACAAAAATGCTGGTATAATCAATAATGAATTGTCTTTAAGGAGTTGATGCCCAAAACTTTAAACTGTGATAATATTTAATAATATAAGCCAACATAAACTTCACCCAGCAAATCAAAAATCCTACAAAGTAGCCAAGCGATTTATGTCTAGGGATGTCGAAAAAATATCTCGAAATTTTTGATTTTATGTATGGATATTTATTATTTGTTATGTCAATATATCTATATTTTCTCTTGGATATATTTAGGTCGATATTGATATTTTTATATAAATAAAAATCGTTTAATGTTTGCCGTGCAGTATGGTAATTAATTTAATCTTGCCCTACACCAATTTATCCCAATGGCCCTTGTTGATTGCGAGAGAATACCTAAAGGCCTATGTTAACATTAATTAAGGTAATTACATTAAATGATAATTTTTTTTATTAATTATGTAATCTAATCAAAAATTGACACCAAATTTACATTATTTATCTTGTTCTGTGGCTTCAAATTAGTGTGCATTATGATTACTAGTCATTACTTACATGCGTCATTACAGAATTGTACAACAAAAATTTATTTATCGGTGAAATCGATTTCTTGTAGCGTAAGTGCTAATCGCAATTACTAATTAGAATTGTTTCAAATTCTGATGTTTGACACGCGTTAATTTATGTTCGACACGTTTTTTAGCAGATAAATCAAATTGACGATAGATAAATTGACAGTTCACTCGTATCAGATGTATGATAGAACATTTCTAAGCATTTACTATGTCATAAAGACCTTGTGACAAATTTTAAATTAACACGTTATAAATTAAATATTCCGTTTTACAATAATAATGGTAACACATTTGCTAATGTTACATTTAATAATCTTTATTGTATTTCCCTCCAAAATGCACCATCGTGATCGCACCGCTTTTGTTTTTTTAAACTTCACGGATCCTTAACGGATACTAACAAAGAAACTATTCCCCCCTACTAATCTCAAATATTTACAGAGTATCTATATGGTTACTCTGTGTATCTTGTTAAGAATTGAACTAGAACACACATAAGTATAAATACGATGTTAATGCTGTTTTGATAATGTGAAAAGTTGTTTTTGCCCGAAACTTAGCCAAGCACCATTATTGCATACAGTGTAACAGAACATTTTTATTTTACCGCTTCTAAAATTGAGACAGTGTATGATTGCCCTAATGCTATTTATTTCACTCGCGCTGGTCCTTACGGGCGTCCCCCTGTTAGGGGATGGGGTTTTTTTTATGTCAAAGGTGGCAAATGCTGGGGGTTCACGTGATTTCTAGTGATGACCGCCTCCCATGAACATTTGCAATACCGTTAGGAGTGCAGATGCGTTGCCCCCTTTAAATAAAGTGACATCCGGCTACCTCACTCACCAGACGAAACGAAGAAGTGTAAGACTTGAAATCCACGCCGGTCGTCCGCGAGGTCACGGTAGTAGTAGACTTGCGTGGTCCTACCACAGTTATAGTCTTGGGCCTACAATGCCTGCTACGTGGGATCTTGCCAGCGCCGGCCCCAATCTTCGATCAGAGTAGATTAAGTTTATCTTTCAGCGCTCTTTAGTCGGTGCTGTCACTTTGAATAAATTGTACATTGGCTTGATGTTAAATAAATAATTGTAAACATTTTTGTAAAGTAACAGCCTGTACATGTCCCACTGCTGGGCAAAGGCCTCCTCTTTACAGAGGGTATCAGGGCATAGTCCACCACGCTGCCCCACTGCGGATTGGCGGACTTCACATATCTTCGAAATATTTTTTTTTGTTATTATTTCGAAACTATGCAGGTTTCCTCACGATGTTTTCCTTCACCGCGGAGCACGTGATAAGTCAGCACTTAAAGTTAAAAACTTCATTGGTGCCGGCACCGGGGATCGAACTCGGGTTGCTCGAGTATATTGAATTAAACTATGACACTGAGCTATCACGGCTCTAAACATTTTTGTAATATCAATTTATAAATTTTAAACTTTTTTATAGTGCTAATCTCTGCACTTAAGATTGAACATTAAAACATGTAGAAAAAGTCCGAAAAGATTGTCGCCGCTGTGGGAATCGAACCCACGTCTTCGGCATTCGCGGCCTGACGCTCTAGCCACTGAGCTAAACGGCTGATTGCCACACCGACGAAAATCTTAACGTCTTTTATCTAAATTGTTTTTTAGCATTTGAAGCAATGCTTGGCGCATCCATTGTTATATCCTTGGCAATCAGCCGTTTAGCTTAGTGGCTAAAGCGTCAGGCCGCGAATGCCGAAGACGTGGGTTCGATTCCCACAGTGGCGACAATCTTTTCGTACTTTTTCTACATATTTTAAAATAAATATAGAATTTATATCTGATGCACTACCCCACAACAAAATGCCGAGATTACTATATATCGAAACCGATAAAGATAATTTTATAAATATCGATATATTTCTTTACTTTCGACATCTCTATTTTAAGGCAAGGGAGAACGGATTCCGCATTCCTTCAATACCCTGCATATAAACACGTCATATCCGATTGGGAGAAAATTGGTTAGATTTGAGAGAAAAAAAACAGCACTACTTACAAGTAAACAATTCATTTTATTCTTATCAATAAAATAATACCGAATAAAAGAGTCCAGGTCACATTCAGAAGTGGTTGAAAAAAAACAGCATTGGGTACAAGTAAATAATATATTTTATTCATATCAATAATCATAAAAAATAAACGAAGAAAATAGCCCAGGCCGTATAAATGCTAGGTGCCGATTCGATAAAAATAATACTTTCGATACAAGGAAATGTTGAACGCTTATATCTAGAATACGAAGATGTCTCCATTGATTTGTATAATTCATATGGAAACTAATCGAGACTTAATTCGGGGTCGACCAGTCTTTCGCTCATAAAACGCCAATTAAATATAAATGAAAATCGATAATTAGCCGATCATTAAAAGTTTTTCGATGTTAGAATCTATACATTAAATAGAAGCACCTTTTGTATTACCTATATTCGTCTGTTATATCTGATAATATGTGTGTAAAAAAAACCCTTTACTCATAAC